GCTCCCTACAGGACCGGACCAGTGCAGAATAATCCTCCTTGGAGGTGACTCCCATCCTCCATCCTTTGTAGGCCTTTCTTTTTAGCCTCAGGAGATCTGCTAGGTCCCTGGAGAGCCAGGGGGGCTGCTGTGCCCTCTTGCTGCCTTTCCTCTGAGATGGAATAGACTTAGTTTGTGCATTGAGGATCGCTCCCTTGAGGAGCAACCACTCCTCTTGAACTCCCCTCTCCCTGTGGTCACGGTCCCTTAGGGCCTCACTGACAAGCCTCCTGAGCTTGTCAAAGTCGGCTTTCCTGAAGTCAAGGACTTGCGTGTTGCTGACCGACTTGCCAGCTTTTCGGCGGATGGTGAAGGTGATCAGCTCGTGGGCGCTGTCAACCCAGCTCGTGGTCGCTGTCACCCAGATTCCCATCCATTGCAACATCATTCCCATTGATGTTGTAATGGAAGTAGCCCACCACCTTCCTGCATTTTTAAATCAGCTGGGTGGTAGTGACGGCACCATCACCAGCAGCTGTGTCCCCCTCCAAGGCATCTCTGACTATGAGGTGCAGCCTGTGTGCCACACAGCAGATGTCAAGCAAGTTGGCATCATGGACAGCCTTGACCATATTGGCCCCATTATCAGTGACCAGGAACCCACGGGAGAGCTCATCCTGCCCAACGAGCCACGCCTGCACCAACTGGTTCATGGCCACCATGATCCCCCTGGTTGTGTGGGACTCATCCCTCACCTTGGCTCAAAAAAGAGCCCACCGATGGCCTGACTGATCGCACGAGTACCCTGTGAGGGAGAGGTAGGCGTGATCTCCACCCTGGCTGCTCCAGATGTCAGAGGTGAAGTGCAAGGCTACCTGCGGCCCTGCCTTGCACAGCTCCTCCCTCAAGTACCCGCTGCATGCCTTATATAGGGAGGGCACCACCATCGTGCTAAAGGTGGTGCATGCAGGCACTTGGTAGGATGGGACCATGAGCTACCTGAACTGTTGCTGCTCAGCTAAGGAGAAAGCCTGGCCATCCAGAGCAAGCATCTCCCCAATTCTTTGAGTGATCTCGCTCGCCCTTGCATCCTGCTCCCTTTTGTCTGTGGCTTTCCCTCACTGCTCCAGGGAGACCTGCCTCTGCTTTGTGGGGATGGGGGCTTTGAAGCAAGTGGGGAACTTCCCTTTGGGCATGATTCTGCTGGTGCCAGGCTGAGGAAGAAGAAGGGCAAGGAGGTGCTGCCTCCTCAGATGCAGCAGCATCGCTGTGGTGGTGAAGTGTTTTACCTCCTTGCCCTGGCTGATCTGCCTTTGGCAGTGCTGGCAGATAGCAACCTGGGATTTGCCACCTCAAAATGATCCCACACTACACTACTCCCCCACTTCTGGGTTGAGGGGGCCTTATCCCCCTCCTCAGCAGGCAGAGGCACAACAACAGGAGGAGCTGACTCAGCTGAGCCACTTGCCTTCACAACCTCCTCTGAGGTGCCTTCCTGAAAAGGAGACCTGGGTCTAGGGGAACTTTGAGAGGTGTGAACTTTTAAACTCAGTTTCCCCAGAATTTCTTTAGCTAGCGCACTCAGGTCCCCTGGTTCCAGATCCAGCTCCTCCTCTGGCAGGGAAAGGCTCATGCTGGGAGATGAAATTGGGGTGGAGAAGACAGTCATACTGTTGCTAGTGCCTATTTCTGGAGTTAGGGGAGGGGGTGCAGGCACAGGGACAGGTACTGCTCCCACCTCCTTGCTTCCACTGGCAGCAGAAGACTCATGGCTTCCAGGCAAGTGGATGTGTCTATGTTTGGGGCGGGGGGGACTTCCAGCTCTAGTTCTCCCCCTACCTCCTCTAGCCTCTCTCTCTCCCCTGCCAGAAGACCTGGCACCTGCTTTTCCAGCACACTTCATATTAATCTTTCCTGTGCTGGAAAATGTGTCTGTGTGTGTAACTAACTAATAATCAGGGATCCTGGTTTTCTCTGTTTAAAAAAAAAAATCCCCAAATTTCGGTTTAAAAAAATGACACAAAATCCACATTTTCCCACAATGGAAAAATGTGGATTTGGGTTACTTTTTTAAAACTGAAAATTGGGGATTTTTTTAAATCAGAGAAAACCAAGATCCCTGCTAATAATATATGTCTTCTTCTTCTTCTCTGATGTATGACTGTGTCTGACTTCTTTTGTGTTGTGTTTACTGTTGTGTGTGTATCTAAAATAATATCTCTTCTTCTTCTTCGACTCTCTGACTTCTGTGTTGTGTTAATCTGAATCTCTATCTGACTTCTGTGTTGTCTGTAGTCTGATTGTAACTATACCTAATAATAATAACTATATATAATCTGATCTTTTCTTCTTCTATGACTCTCTGACTTCTGCTGTGTTAATCTGAATCCCTGACTACTTCTTCTGTGTTGTATTTACTGTTGTGCGTGTAACTAAAATGCTCTCTTCTTCTTCTGTTTCGGTCTGTCTTCTGCTGACTTCTGTGTTGTCTGTAGTCTGATTGTAACTATACCTAATAATAATAACTATATATAATCTGATCTTTTCTTCTTCTATGACTCTCTGACTTCTGCTGTGTTAATCTGAATCCCTGACTACTTCTTCTGTGTTGTATTTACTGTTGTGCGTGTAACTAAAATGCTCTCTTCTTCTTCTGTTTCGGTCTGTCTTCTGCGTTGTGTTAATCTGAATCTCTGACTTCTTCTTCTGTGTTGTCTTTAGTCTGTATGTAACTATAACTAATAATATTAATAACTATATATAATCTATTCTTCTATGAATGTCTGACTTCTTCTGTGTTGTAATAATATCTGACTTCTTCTATGATGTATGTGTATGAGTGTGTGTAATGTATGTGCTTCCCTGCACAGTGATGGATCACACTGCCAGGGAAAACACAGCTTTCTCTTAAAAAGCGTTGGGAAAAAAAGACCATGAACAAATATAAATTGAAAAAAATGGATTGGATAGGGATAAGTAGAGGGATTCTAGTTAGTAAGCTATATCCAATCCTTTCTAAGAACAAAAAGTAGCAGGAGACAGACTAGGTAGGACGTCAAGCCAGTCCAGTACCTTTCAGATGCTGTTGCTCAGGCAGAAACAGCTCACAAAAGGCACAGAAAGGCTGCAGACAGAGGTTTATATGCTGTTTCTACATCCCTCCCACAGAGCACTGTGATTGGAAGGGGAGTCAGGGAATGATCACAGTCACTGGCCAGCTAGAGATGTCAGTCTTTCTCCCCCTGCTCCTCCTCCCTCTTCTCAGTTTCTGTTCCCCTGAAAGACTGTCTTCCGAATCTCTGAGTCTTTTCCGTATCTTTTCCGAATCGATTTGGAGCCTTTGAATCGATTCAGAGGTTTTTTTATCTTATCCTGATTCGATTTGTATTTGGTGATTTGGCCTCTGAATCGGGCTGAATCTTCTCTGAATTGAATCATGGACCCAACTTTTGCACAGCCCTAGTAGTTATGGTCATGTCTGACTGATTAAACTAGTTCCCAGAAGTGTGAATAGTAGTCTGCAAAATGGGGAAGTCCGTCTGGTTTGTGGTGAAAATTCCATTCCTATTTTGCTCCAAGGTCTACTAAGAATGCTGTGCATCTTCTTTGTAATTTAATGCTTTCCCTGTTCTACTTACCAATTATCTCTATGTCCACTCCACTTACACTCTGCATAGTGAACTTACTCTCCAGCTTTGCACATGTCCCTGGCTTTCAGAAGAGTTAGTGTGGGTTGTCTGAATATTCTCATTTTTAGCTCCAGCATGTTTCAGCTATGTTACTTATTTGTGATAAATTATTTCACCTTTTAGATTTGGTAAATCAGACTTTATTTTGTCTTGTGGTTTTCTTGGTTTTTCAGAGGATTGATTAGATTTGTTGGACACAGGCCTTTCATAGATGACATTTTCCATGGATTGAAAATTCCAATGAAGCCTTTCTAGGATATTTACCTGGATCTTCATGGTCTGTTGTTCCCATCCCTAGGTGTTGCTGGACATGTGGCAGCTTTTTGCCCCTCATAGTTAATAGGATGTCTTATTTTCTTCTTTTCCTGTTTCAATTTTATAGGTTTTTTTTTCAGATACCTTAGAAGTTCAGTCTCTTTTGACACAATGGCTGCATCTACATATGCATTTTACTATGGAGTTGACAGGACCGCAGCAGTTTGAGCCAGATTGGAGAGCCCCAGGCTGACAGCAGGCTCAGCTACATGGCTGCAGTTTCAGCATTCTTGTGACCCAGTCAGCCTCTCTGCCACCTAATGCTGACACCCCGAGCCCAGCCCAAGCCTGCTGCTAGCTCAGGCCCAGCCCAAGCCTGCTGCTCTGCCTCGGCTCAGACTGGTTTGGTCCCAGGCACATGTGAAGATACTTTGCCCGGGAGCAGCTGAGCTATGCTGTGAACTATGCTGGAGTTTACTGAGCTGCAATAGCTCATGTAGATGCACCCAATGTGTAAGTATAAAGAGTCAGAGAGCATGAAGTTAGTACATCATTCAGGTTTTTTTTTGTCTGCAGAAGATGGTCTTATAATAAGCATTTCCTGAAAACTTAATTCTCTAAGTCCCTATACATGGGACTGTGTATAGGTTTATGTTATATATTCTAACTTGATACTCCTTAGTGCAAGATAGTACTAAGAAAGAAGATCAGAAATGACTTCTGCAGTTTACAATTTGTTCAGCTTTGGTTCAGAGTAGTTCAGGCTTCCTTCATTTGTTATAATTTTAAATACAGAAAAGGTCAGTCATTTTATTTACCAAATTGTCATTCTTAAGATCAGCCATGCCAAACATTATGGTTTTGTTTCTGTTTTTCCTTTTAACTAATCACATTTTCCTTGATTTAAGCAAGTCAAGGGAGAAGACTATTCTCCAGTTAAAGCACCATGGTACCCAGAATCTTTTCACAAGACTAGTAACTTATATTTTGTAGGATTGTTAAAAAATATTTTTCCTTTTTTTAAATCTGAGGGAATGAGTCAAACCTTCACAGTGCTTTATTTATTTCACCCCAAAGGAATCTTTGCAACAGGTAAAGATAGTTTCGGTGAACAACCCACTTGTCTTTCTGAATGCCAAGAAGTTCCATGCTGATTTAATAAAGATAATCCAGAAGGACAATGCAAGCAACCAAGCATATGATGATATAAACAAGGTAGGACGTGCTACATTCATCAGTAGTAATGATGGCAATAATGATAATGAGTGCTTTTCTCATGTTCATTCCATCAAATCTCACAGCACTCAATCAGTAATACAGTAGAAAATCACATTATGCCATAGATGATCAATTTGCCATATAATAAAATTAAAACCTAAACTTCATCAAGTTCAATCTATTTAGTTTTTCCCATCACTGTTTGGAAGGAATACATCTAATATATGTATCTATGTAATTCAACAAAAGATGTTAATGAATCAATCCAGTACCACAGAAATTCATGGGAGAACTTCCACAGGCTTTGGTATATAAAGGCCTATTTGCATCACAGAGGGCATGTCTACATGTGCATATTAACTGCAGTAACTGAAATTACTACACAGTAACTGAAAATTACTCCACAGTACAGGTGGTGTCTACATGTGCAAGCCTGTACTCCACAAGAAATATGTTGACTTATGCCAACTTGGGTATAAATTTGATACCTGCATCATGCGGGTATCAAATTTATGCCTGAGTAGTTACTGTGCAGTAACTCACGCATAGACACCTTACTGCACAGTAACACTGTGTGCATGGACTGACTTGGGACTAACTTTACCGGCAAGTTGGTCCATATACAGCATTATGGTGCTTTAACACCTGCACGTGCAGAAGCCAGCCTAAACCCATTTACTGTGTAGTAAGTAACTGTACAGTAAATTTAACGCACCATAAATGCACATGTAGATGTGCACAGATTGAATATCTGCCACGGAGGTCCATGGGAGCAACAGTTTTTCAGCAGCTCTCATAATTAGACTTATGCCATTGTAATTATCAGTAATTAACTTGGAAGCAACAGGAAGTTACACAGGTGTAAAATTGAGGAACAATACTGTAAAGTAATGTTTCTCCTTAAGTTTTTACAGTGATTATCATAGTTTTGGTAAAATCAATAAATAGAGGATATAAAAATAATAAAAACACATCACTGGCTTTAGGGACACTCACCACAGACATCTTGACTATTCTAGTATACCTGCCAATACCTATTATAGTTTTAAAGGCTAGACAGAGTTTGCTTTTGTTTAACAGTAATTTATTTACAGCTTTTGATAAAACAATTCAGTAAAATGAACAATAAAAGTATAAATAATATAATAATAAACTTATATAGTTTATGGTTACTAAGCATTCAATAAGATTGCACAATCTATTAGCATAAAGAAAATTAAAACAGAACATAGAATCATAGAAAATTAGAATTGGAAGGAACCTCAGGAGGTCATCTAATCCAATCCCCTACTCAAAGCAGGACCATCCCCAACTAAATCATTCCAGCCAGGTTTTTCTTGAGTCAGGCATTAAAAACCTCCAAGGATGGAGATTCCACCACCTCTCTAGGTAACCTGTTCCAGTGCTTCATCACCCTCCTTGTGAGAAAGTTTTTCTTAATATCTAACATTGACTTTGCTGGCTGCAACTTGAGACCGTTGCTTCTTGTTTTGTCATCTGCCACAAAAGAGAATAGTCTAGCTCTGTCTTCTTTGTAACCACTTTTCAGGTAGTTGAAGGCTGCTATCAAATCCCCTCTCAGTCTTCTCTTCTGAAGACTAAATAAGCCCAGTTCCCTCAGCCTGTCCTAATCATAAGTCCTGTACCTCAGTCCCCTAACCATTTTTGTTGGCTTCTGCTGGACTCTCTCCAACTTGTCCACATCCTTTCTGTACTGGGGGCACAAAACTGGACACAGTACTCCAGATGTGGCCTCACTAGTGCTGCACCAGTGTGGCCTGCACCAGTGCTGTACTAGGGAATAATCACTTCCCTTGATCTACTGGCAACGCTCCTACTAATGCAGCCCAGTATGCTGTTAGCCTTCTTGGCAACAAGGGCACGCTGATGGCTCATATTCAGCATATTGTCTACTGTAAGCCCTGGGTCATTTTCCGCAGAGCTGCATTTCTGCATTTTCTGCAGAGCCAGTTGTTCCTAAGCACATAATGGTGCATGAGATTGCTCCAATATAAGTGCAGGACTTTGCACTTGTCCTTGTTGAGCCCCATAAGAGTTCTTTTGGCCCAATCCTCCAATTTGTCTAGGTCACTCTGAATCCTAGGCCTACCCTCCTGCATATCTACTACTCTCCCCATCTTGGTATCATCTGCCAACTTGCTGAAGTGCACTCCATCCCATCTTCCAAACCATTAATAAAGATATTGAACAAAACTGGCACCAGGATCGACTCCTGGAGCACTCCACTTCATGTCAGCTGCCAACTAGATATTGAGCCATTGATTACTACCCATTGAGCCCGATGAACCAACCAGATTTCCATCCAACTTACAGTCCATTCATCCAACCCATACTTCCTCAGTTTTCTTGTAAGAATGCTGTGGGAGTTGGTATCAAAAAGCTTTGCTAAGGTTAAGGTATATAATGTCCACTGCTGACTGTTCCTGATAACTTTCTTCTCCTCCAAGTGCTTAGAAATGGATTCTTTGAGGGCCTGCTCTATGATCTTGTCGGGGACTGAGGTGAGGCTGACTGGTCTGTAGTTCCCTGGATCCTTTTTCTTCCCTTTCTTAAAGGTGGGCACTATATTTGCCCTTTTCTGATAATCCGGGACCTCCCCCAGTCGCCATGAGTTTTTAAAGATAATGGCCAGTGGCTCTGCAGTCACATCAGCCAACTCCCTCAGCACCCTCAGATGCATTGCATCTGGCCCCATGGACTTGTACACATCCACTTTTCTAAATAGTTCCTAACCTGTTCTTTCACCACTGAGGGCTGCTCACCTTCACCCCAAACTGCGGCCCAGTGCAGTAGTCTGGGAGCTGACCTTGCCTGTGAAGACCGAGGTAAAAAAGGCATTGGGTATTTCAGCCTTTTCCTCATCATCTGTCATTAGGTTGCCTCCACCACTCACACTTTCCCTGATCTTCCTCTTGTTGCTGACATACTTGTAGAAGCTCCTTTTGTTACCCTTCACATCCCTTGCTAAATGCAACTCCAATTGCGCTTTGGCCTTCCTGATTTCATCCCTACATACCCAAGCAATATTCCTATACTCCTCCCTAGTCATCTGTCCAAGCGTCCATTTCTTGTAAACTTCCTTTTTGTGTTTAGGATCACTGGAGAGTGCTCTGCTAAGTCAAGCTGGTTGCCTGCTATATTTGCTATTTTTCCTACACGTTGAGATGTTTTGTTCCTAAGCCCTCAGTAAGGTTTCTTTAAAATACAACCAGATCTCCTTGACTCCTCTCCCCTGCAGATGAGAACATAGGATATGATACTCAACGTAGTATATGATAATACAGAAAATAGATAAAACAAAACAATATCAAATAATCAAGTAAAAAAATTAAAAGTATATTTGATTTTGCTTTTGTTTTTTTTGCTTTAACTGCTATGGAGACATTCTCTGATAAAGACAGCATAAATAACTTGGTAGAGATAAACATATTTGATTTGCCTGAAATTAATTTAAATGTTCTTTGGGGTGGATATTTTGTCCTTTATATGTACTGGGGAGTGCTTAATTCTACAATTTGCTAAATTTTTTTTTGCACAGTATGGGGTTCTTTTTTTTGACCTTTATTCAAAAGCAAAACTTTTTTGCAAAAACTAGTTCATGCCTTTGTGGGTTTTTAGTTATATATTTATAATTTTAATACATTTATGTTATATCTGTTATAATTTATTACCACACATTTAATATTTTATCAAAATCATTATCAAAATATTAGATTTTTTAAAAGCCACATTTGAATAAATAAAACATGTTTTTGGTAAATGAATAATTTTGAAATTATTTTAGCAAATATTTCAATTAACATAGACTATTTTGCCTAGAACAGAAAACTAATATATTTTCAGCTGTTTGTAATGTAAACAAGGTTGACATTTTGAACTTTATTCATTTACTCCCCTCCCCCTTTTATCAGCTCTGTGTAGCCCCCAGGAGATTAAAATGGATCTCAATTCATGAAGGCTAGAGATTGGCCTAGAAAGCCAAAGTGAGGCAGTGAAACAATAATACATAGGTTGAGATAACTTTTAATCAAATGTTGCTGAATTTATTTCACATGTTAAAAGGATCCACAAGACTTTCACAGAAAGAAAATGTTGATGCTTTCCTTTAGAAGGGAATAGAAAAATTCCATATTGGCAGACAGAATTAAGAAGGCATTGATAGTTTTTCCTTAGTTCTTATATTGAGTTTTCCTTTTGTTTCAGTGTGAACAGAACACATTGCTCAATCCATTATCCAATGGCAGTTGTCATGGTGAGTTTAGCTTTTATGAAACAAATTGAAAGGAAGATGGAGTGTGTGGTGTTGGTATGTCAGATGTTTCCTGATTTTTACATGAATGTTCATGGCCCAGAAACTAATGTGTTTCCGCATGCCAAGTAAAGCTTGAACACTAGCAGTGCCATCTTCCCTATAGTATCCTGTCAATATGCTTTGCCTTTGATCTGGAGGGCTTCTCAACCCTCTTAAGTTGAGAATGTAGGGCTAATGGAGTTTTTAACCTACGTTTTGAGATTGCTGATAGAGATTTACAGCTTTGAATCTAGGAAATATTCAGAGGGTACCAACGTATTTCACATAACCATAATTTACTCATGAGACAGCAGAGAAATTATATTATCCATGCCTTAGTCCAGATTTGAACTAAGAACCTGACATACTTTAGAGTCCTGGTTTTCAACCTTTTTAGACTCAAGGCACCTCTCCACAACTTTTCTGAACTTAGTGGCACCCCATCTATTCAAAAACTAATTTAACTTATTTTTGTACTATAGAATAGTAATAAAGCAACTCTGTTGCAAAGTACCTAGGAAGATCACAATGCTTTGGACAATATGAATTCCTATTGGGAAACTCTTGGTTTATCATGTCAATCATGTGTAGGTGTTTGCTAATATTGTGTGGCACCCTTAAAAGGATCTCACGGCATCCCAGGGTGTTGTGGAACCCCAGCTGACAATCACTGGTTTTAGTCCCTCAGCTAAAAATAACGAAAACAAAACCCAACAGATTTATTAGAAACACTGCCTAATCATGAAATGAACTGAGCATTGTGTGGATTATTGTGCCTGGTCAGAGCTTACTGCAGAGCTGGAGCATAGACAGTAAGTAAAACTAAAAATAGAAACACGATATCAAATTTGTATGGCTTTTAAGTCTATTTACAATATAGGCTAAGAAAATTGAAATGACTCAAAATGATCCATATCACCTTACCTCAGAGTATGGAATAAGAAAACTAAATAAAGGTTTATTTTTTTATTTGAGATTTAAAATATATAAATTATTTCATAACACACCTAATAAAATGCCAAAACATAGTGCAAAAGGGAATCAGGACTCATATTAGAGATGATATCTTTCATTAGACCAACAAGATTTTTGCAAAAAAAAAATTCTTTGATTGCAAGCTTTCTGGCACAAACACCCTTCATCAGGCACTGGAGAAAAGATTGCAAAAGTTCTCCAGGGTAGAAATGAAAGTTCATATTTCATATGATCTCACAGAGGAATCAATAGGTGGAAAATTCCTCTGGGCATTCAGTTCATAGCTAGTATGGAGCCTTTCACCTCCTGTGAGGATTTGTGATGATGCAAATTACCTTGAAACAAAGCTCCCACTTTTGTTTCAAAGTCATTTGCATCATTGCAGAAAATATCATCTCTACTACGAGTCCTGAGTGCCTTTTCCTTGAGACCAATACAGCTACAACCTGGATACCTCAGAATGCAGTGCATACATTCCTACAGGGTAACTAGAGTGACTTTTTTCAGGAGATACTTTATACAGGTAACTTAAATCATGGAAGGAGTTCAAATATAACATTTATTCAACAAACTTATAAGCATTCAGGTTCTAGTCAAGAATCTGAATTTGGACCATTGGCTGAATGTTTATATTCATTAACTATATTTATGATGACTTTAAGGGATTACATTCTTTGTTTTATTAGAGGGTGATGGAGTCTGTAGCTATCTCTAAAGTATTGCAACACGCACTACTCCTAGTAAAGGCAAAAAATATTCTGTAAAATCCATGCATTGCTAGAGAGATGGTTAGAGACACTGACCAAAATAAAATTCTGATTTCATTTGGATGGCTGGATCTTTCACAGTGTCTGAGCACCACTTGTATCATACCCAATCTTACTTTGAGCCGTTAAATCAGGAGTGGGCAATTATTTGTGCTGGAGGCCAACTTAGAGAGTTTTGGTGAGCTGTTGAGGGCTGGGTCAGCACCCCTCTCCCCCCACAACAATTCACCAAATCTCCCTAAGTGGCTCTGCCCTGTGCTCGGCTGGGCAGATGGGATGGGGTCATGGACAGGCAGGGAATGGCATCTGGGAGCAGGACTGGTGGGCAGGGCTGGGGCTGGGGCACCCTGGGATCATGGGGCGATGACAGCATGGGATCGGGGCCCAGGGAAGTGCTGTGATCCACTCCCCACACGCCCCCGCGATGGGCTTTGGTTCTTCAGGCTGGAGAGCAGATTGTGGCTCTGCCCTAGGCCCAGGCCCCACTCTGTAGCTGCCCTGCAATCCCAGGGTCTCCATGGAGACTGGTCCAGGACCCACATGGGCAGGCCGTGCTCAGCTGGGTGGATGAGACTATGGGGCAGGGAGTGGCATTCAGGAGTGGGATGGGCAGGCAGGGCTGAGGCTGGGATTGGGATCATGGGGAGGTGACAGTATGAGGCTGGAGCCTGGGGCAGGGCCATGATCTGCTCCCTGCACACCCCTTCCTGCAGAAGCGGCACCCATCACCGGGGCATGTGGGCAGTGGATAGTGTGTCTTCTCTGGGCCCAGGCCCTGGCCCCATGTTGTCACCACCCCCAAATCCCAATCCTAGTCCTGGCCCCAGCCCCACTGCCCATCCTGCTCCCAGATGCTGCTCCCTGCCTGGCCAAGTGCACTCTGTTCACATGGGTCCCAAGCTGGTCTACTTGAAGCCCCCACCCACCTGCCCCATCCAGTGCCACCAGCAGTAGGATGGGATGCCTAGGCCAGTGGGGCCAGGTCTGGTGGTGGTGGCAGAGACTGGCAGCAGCAGCTGAAAGGAGCTGCTCTTGCAGGGGCTGCCAGGAAGTGAGTCTGGTTGCAGCACTGCCCCAGCCCTGCTGTGTGCCCTGGGGCTGCAGGCCTGACCACATGCACCATGGCCTCTGCGGCCCCCTATGCCTGGGGCAGGCAGGGCTAAGGGGACCTCCTCAGGCCAAAAAAATCCCTTAGCTGGCCAGATGCGGTCTACAGTCCATATTTTGTCCACCACTACCTTAAATGGTATAGGCATAGGGAGCACTTTCAGCATCTGGGGCATGGGGTTTGGGGTGTTATGTTGGCTACTGGAGAGCAGGCAGGGGACTGAGGGCAGGACGCGGAGTCTTATCTGACAGAGGTCTCCGTAGGTGACAGCTGCTAGTGCTGTGCAGCAGAGGCTCATGCTGCTGCTGCTCTGAAGAAACAGGCAGCAGCCTGGGTTCCCTGGGGCTCCTCCTGATGCCCTTTTCTTTCTCTGGGCACAGGGTTGTGCCTCCAACAGCAAGGTATGCAGAAGGCATCAGCAAAGTGTGCAGTGACCATCCTTGCCACCCCCCACCCCCCGATACACTGTTTGGTGAAAGGATGCACCTGCCCATGGCAGAGACTCCTGGGAGGAGGGCCCTATATTGATGCCCTCTCTAGGGCTAGTCCAGGGTTAATGCCCTGCTCACTCTGCCTCAGTTATGCCACTGTTCAATTGTGAATATTGCTCGTGATAGATCTCTTACCAGTGGTGAATTTCATCCTAGGTGCATTTAGATAAAACTACGAGAGAGAAGGACGACAGTTTCCAGAAACTGGGTTAATAGTGGAATTTCTGGCAGTACTAGTATTAAACACCAACAGTAACTCCAGAAGTTTTCCAGAAAGTTGGACTGGACTGCTTATTAAACAGTTCAGTGGGTTACATTTTGGTTTTAGACATTTACCTAAGCATCACTCCAGGAGTGGACCTGGAAAGCACTTTGATTCAGATACATTACTTCTGTTTCTTACTGTGAGAGTAGTAGTTTGCTGTTGGTCTGTACTAGCAGCAAGGGGAAGCAAACTTAACACAAGGTCCTAATCATAACCTGCCCCTCCCCTTTATATAGATGTATATAATGATTTTCTATATATACATATATGTATACATATTTATATGTAAATATTTTATATAAAAACTATCTTCTACATTTCTATTTATACATAATTCAATACAAACACAAAGAGAAACTGCTTTTATTTTGGAAATATTGGTGTGATATAGAAAAGACTTCAGTGAACCATCCAGTCATCCTCATAAATCTTTGCTGGATTTCTATAGCAGGAGTATCAGGCAGGAGCTTTCTTTTGAAATTCTTTATTTTTGTTTGCCATGTATTTATTAACATACAGCTAAAAAAGCCAATAAACCCCCAGAGCTATAAGTCCAGTGGACTTTGATCATAGTCTACTTTGAGGAAGGAATTAATGCTAGTATAAATCCCCACTGTGTTGGAACTGTAAGCCCTCTCAAGAATTGAAAATCTTTGTATCTGTTTTTTCAGAACTATTAAGCTTAACGCTTCTTTACGTTCAACCCCTTCCCCCACCCCCATGTCTTTCTGAGTGCTTTGCGGTTTGTGCTTACTAACTTTAATGTTAATATTTATTCACAGTGTGGCATAAATAAGATTTGTTTTACAGTGCTCTCTGTGAGGAAAGTTCTGGAATCCTTGACTTAGGCCATGATACAGCAAAGCAATTATGCATGAGCTTAATTTTAAGCATGTGATCTCAATGACACTTATATACTTATATACTTAAACTGAAGCACTTGCTAAGTTACTTCCTGGATCGGGGCCTTGATGTCTGTATGTTGCTTTGACTTTTTGTAGAGATACACAGCTCTCCTTATAATGGACAGGAATTATTAGGTGATCCATTCCTTTTCATAGATTGTAAGGTCTTGCTGGGGTCACCTGCCCCTTACCACTGTGAGATTGGTCTGAGGCAGTAGAATCGATTCCTTCAGAAATACAGACTATTACACACTTCACCATTTTCTGCTAGAAATTGCAAAACGCATTTCTTTGTTCTACCTTCTCAACTCATATACAGTAGCATGCATAATTAAAAAACAAACAGAAAGAAACCAAATGAGAAATACATACCAAGAGTGGACACACGCTTCTCCCCCAGGAGAAGAATGAAATAAATATTAGTTATGTTGAACTATTGAAAGGCATTCAGATACTACTGCAGTGATGAATACAGATATAGGAATCTGAGCAGAACAGAACAGAATACTTTCCTACATTTGCTAGTATTTTGTCCAGACTAGTTTTGAAAACCTGAGTTAGAAAGGCTTGCTTCATTTCCAATGAGAGATTATTCCACTACTCAAGTATGTTTTATTGGAAAGATGTTTTCCCCAGACCTCCTGTTTTTTGGTTCTCAGTTTTATCGTGTTACCCCATCACTGTTTCTGCTGTACTTTTTGAATAAGCCATTCCCTTGCTTGGTATTTCCCAATGTACAAAGTGTTTTGTAACACAGTATGTTGTTTATTTTTTGATGAGTGAATGTTATTCTTTCTGGAGATTCTTTCTCATTTCATATCAAATATCTAGGTGAGTCATCCGTAGAGCCATGCCCTAATGAGAGATGTGCTTTCATATTAGACTGCAGTGGACTGACTTTATTTGACTATACTGGAGTCTCGGTGCTTCTGCAGGTATTTATGACATCATGCATGTATGTGCTGGAAATTAGGTCCAAGTCTGTATTCACCTTGCATATCAATTGACCCAAAGTTCAGTCATGTGACTATAAATAGCAAAGTACAAATAATAATATTATAATAGCAATTCAGCTCTATATAGTAGCCCCCAAATTACTTTTAGAAACTAAATCATATGACTGCTGTTAGAATTAAATTTATTGAAATTTATTTACTTGGCATGGGCTTCATTGGGATGGCAAGAGTTGGTCCAGATTCCTGATCTGAATCAAGCAGAGAGGGTACTTGAACTTGGGTTTTTCCCAACCCCTCATGAGTGCTTTAACTATCAGGAGACTGTGTATTTGGAGGTGGCTTTCCTGAATATTTCCTCTCAGAGCTTTTCTACTTTGCATGGACTACATGCGTATTTGTTGAATCAGGGACTATACCCCTGGGGTCCCACCTCTCCAGGGAGTGCCCTCATAAAATGTCTCCATAGTCATTCTCATTTCTTCTCTTAACTCACTTACTGATTCAATGATTATTTATGTATTCCATGCATGGTAGCACAGTTTCAACAGAAGAACTAGATAGCAACCTCCAGTAAGTTATCTGTAGCATGATGGTGAGGGCAGTTTTCTGGGAGTGACAGGCAGGGGTTTAAATCCCCTCAGACACAAGTGAGACTTGAACCAAGGGTCTTCTACATCTTGGGCTAGTGCTGTAATCCCAGGAGAGGTGGGTAAGGGAAACATCACTATTTTCACCATGGTCTCCTCCTCATAAATTCATGTTGAATTTAAAAAATGTTTCAGATCAGTTGCAACCACATTTACTGGTTTCCAAAAAACGAAACAAAACAATACCAAAAAAAAATCTAATCATGCCCACTACAGTCCTAACACACTTCATCGTTTTTAGATTATAGAATGGCTCCCTCTAATGGTAGTTTTCAATGTAATTTGAATAGAATTAAAGTATGTTTCTTACCTGGTTTTGCTTGATTTATTCTCTTGCGATCCTTCAAATAGTTTTGCTAAATTCATGGGGTTTTTTTTTCATTTAGATTTACATGGATTGTAAAAATCAGAACATTAATGTATTACTAGCACATTGCAAAGGTAAGTATCAATTTACAAGAAAAGTTTTGAAGAATGAGTTAAAGCCCACATTACTTTTTAATGTTAATGTGTATATTTTATTACAGCTTCCTTGATAAAAGCAATGCAGTACAGTGACAACCTAGGATCTGAAAATCCTATCTTCTTTGAATCTGTTTCCTCTGCAGTTGGTGCTATTCAGATTAACAGGGTGAGTTTGAATAGATGAAATCAAAAGTCTCAAAGGCTGAATTTGGTTATTTATAGGACTTTATTACTCTGTGGAGGCCTTGCATAGTCAGTGAGCTCCCTTTCTTCTGTATCTTCGGCAGCTGGTTCTAAGGATGGATTGTTCAAGCCCATAAATGCCCACTGGCTGCTGTCCCAGGCTCAACTGAAGAGTTATCTGACAGTCCTACTCTTTCATCATCACTCTCTTTCTTTTATCAATAACCTCTATATCTTGGTAGCTTTTGTCCTGGATTCTGGGCCTGCTGTGCTCTGGTACATAATATGGGGTGTGCCTACAGTTCCAATTACAATATAATGTGGAGATAAGACTATAAAAAACATAAGTGATACCATGCTGGGTCCAAGTTGAGACCCATCTAGCTACTGTCCTATCTTACAGTAGCACAGAGCAAATATTAAGGGGAAGAGTATTTATGTAGGGCATATCCACACTCATCTGTCCCCTGCTCCTCTTCCCTTACAGCTTCCAGCATTTAGAAGCTTAGAAAATCTCATTTTGGAGGTTGCAGCCCTACTACTACATTTAATCCTCACTGATGGGGCTATGAGGCATGAATTTGTCTAATCTTCTTGTGAGTCTTATTCATTTGTTGATCCGAGCTAGCTTCTTGACTGGTTAAAGTGGCCTGTACTGAGTTGCACTCTTGTTGCCTACAGTACTTTTTGTACAGGTATCTCAAGTATCTATTCCACAGCATAGGTATAGTCATGGTACAGGTTACGCCAAAGCAGAAGGTGCCCAGAGGAAGCAGAATTCCTCAACTCATATTTAAAAGCACAACGTGGAGCTAAAAGGCTGAGGAAAGCAGAGGAACTTTACAGAAAAAAGAGGCTTAAGGTATGTCTACACTGCATTGTGCAGTGTTGTGTAGGGATACTCACGCTAGAAGCAAGGTAAATTAATTGGCATGGAGCTCTGTACTAGCTGTGCGCCTAGAGTGCTGCCATCTAGTTTCCTGAGAGCTCATTTAGGATGGTCTGGACACATCTACATGTTCCTTAATGAACCTTAGATACTGCTCATTTAGTTTAGTACTTCCTTAAAGTACTAACTAAATGTGCATTAACTAAAGCTACTGTGCAGTAGCGCAGGCAGATGGGTTCCTAGTATGGTTTTGACTATGACATGCTATTGCACAGTTTTATTAGTCCAATGTGCAGTAAGTCTCCCATGTAGACGTGCTCTCTATACTGCATTTCAGTGGGCAGTGTAGATCTTGCTTCCATGAAAGTCTGTAGATGAGAGAGCAGAAAAATCTTGAGAAATGGAAGAAAAAACTGCAAAGAGAAAAAAAAGCTTCATTTGAGAGATGAGGCTTAAATCAGCTTTGATTTGATACAAAAAGTGCCAAGTTAAACATCAAGTTTTATTGGTAAAAATCAGTTATTTCATTCCTTGTTAGAAGAGTCATAAACCTGGTTAGTGCTTATAACTATAGACACTTTTTCCATTGTGATCTTAGTTATTTTCCCATAATTTTGTTCATGACTACAGAGATGGCCAGAGTCCAGCTTCTCCAGAAAACATTAAACCAGTCAATGGACTATGCTTTTGTCAGTTACTACAAGCCAGCACTTTCTGCTAATTACATTAGAAGTGCCTCTTTTTTGGCTCCCAGACAAAATTTGTCTTTGTTGGATTTGCTCAAATAAAGGTGCATCAATGTGCTCGTTCAGTCAATTACAGGACAGGGGAAATATGGCTCATTCAGTGATACTTAGCATATTACCCTTCATCCAACAACAGAACTCTTAATGGAGAACAGCAGGGCAAAAATAATGTACCGTGACACTGCAAACTCTGATGATTATTTGTTATTGTGTCCAATTCTGCCCAAATACAAAATTTCACACAAATGTTATGTTTTAAAACATAATACTTGGCAGCTTTCATTAGAGACTCTCCAAATTCCCGTCACCATTAATTAACCCTCATTATACTAGGAAGTGGCAGTGCTGGGGATGGTTATTTTTGTGCTCTAGTCACGCCACCTTCAGTTATGCTACTATAACTCTCTTACACATGCAGATGTTCATTAAGTAATATTATTCCCATGTTATACATGGAGAAACTGAGGCAAGAGAAGCCTAGTTCACTGTCCAAAGCCATTGTGATAGCTGGTGACAAACTGAGAAGAGAACCGATAAATCTGAATTACCATCCCTGATGCCATCGTCCTCTAACGGTGCACACAAAAACTGCAGAATTTCAGAGGTTCTCTAAAAGGATTTCATGAGACACTAAAAGTTAGATTAAAGTTAGTTTAACACTGCTATTCCCTTTTTTTTTTAACTTCCCCTACCCCTTGATATGAACTGCTAATGACTCTTTGGAATATTCATGCTGCTTGATATGTTCCTTGCCCATAACACCTGAATGGGAGAAGATGGCAGTGGAGGGAAAATGGGGAAAACAACACATGAATGGAAAAATAAGGAAGTGGACCTGATGGAAAGTGTTTGCTTTGTTTCATTTTCCACTTGAGACTGTGGGGGAAATAATTCAGCCCTGTCACAGAGGTGGGCAGGCTGGCATGATCTTCCCTTTCCATGTTTAAGTCTGATCATTATAAATTACCAAGAATCTTCTATTTGTGTCTGGTCTCCAGTGCTAATATCACATTGGCTTCATTTTCTTTATAAAGGCAAGAAGCTTATTGCTCATCTGATCTTGAGCTGTTTTGATCCCTTTTTGATTTCTTGGTCTTTACAGTGTTATTTATTTTTAAAGCAATGCTTTAGCTGCTGCTATTTCATGTCCTCACACTAGCAGAGTACAAGTGAGAATGTAGTAACATGCAATAAGACTTTTCTATTTCTTCAATTTCAGAATTTCAGCAAACTCAATGAACACAGTGAAGTGTGATGCTGACATATTGCAGAGTGGCTATTTTGATCTGCTAACATACAGACTAAGCTATGCCATACCTTTTCCTTAAACTTTTCATGAGATCCTGTAGGCAATATTTTGTATGCAAGGTTTATTTAATAGAGTCCGTTATGACAGTTGTTCTTTTCTTGATCAATAGTTGTCAAAAGTTTCTTTTCTCAAGTACCATCAATCAAAGAGTATCCCTATGTTGGATTATTCTGTAGTAGTTTTATACAATATTTTCGTACACATTTAGATACAAAATATTAGGCAGAAGACAGAGTATTGACCTTTATTAGGGTGATGTATATTGATTTAACACTATTTTATAGTCACTTTATTTGTAATGCACAAACTATACTTTTGTGCATGGGATGAAAAGACCTTACGAATCCTTGCAAATGATCTATTTTAACTGATATAGTATGTGTTTCAGATCATTGTATTTATCCTTTCTCTAATTAAATCAACCATGTACAGTCACATCTTACAGCATATTCTTGCGTAATTAGCACAGTTCTGCATTTTTGCACATTCTTCCTGTATGCCTTCAAACACCCACTGAAGTTAATGGGAGTTTGGGTGTGCCAAGAAAGTATGTGAAATAAAGTGGTTTATTGTGTGTGATCATGTTTCTTATTAGCACTAGCCATGATTCCATCTTGCTGCATTTTAAGAGCTAGAGGCATCCTTTAGTTCAAGTGGAAAATATTTTCACTTTCAGCGCCAAAGATTCTAGGTTTAATCCTCTATGGTGGTAGTGGAGTACATTTAGTGTAACAATATCTCAATCCATATTCCCAGCCATTGTACATCCTCAGATATGGTAACTCAAGGTAGCACCATCAAGTTTACTGGATGTGCATTCATTTATACAGCTGAGGATCTACCCAAAGCCCTGTATTGTACTAGAAATCAAAAGCAAACCTAAAATTGCCTGTGCAAGACCTACATATTTCAGTGGGTAAATGAGCAATTTCATGAGCAGATGGGATAATTTTGTATTTACCCATCCAATTACACATATATCTGAGGGTCTTGTACATGCAAGCAGAAGTTTCTGTGTTTCTTGGGCAACAGCTTGAAAGTTTGCCCTTATAAATTCCAGGCTCAGTTCACCAGCACATAGTAGTTGCTTTGCCTAAGTGGGTTGATTTGGACTAAGCAGCCAAAGTACACGTTATTCTGCTAGTCTGTAAAATTGAGGAACTGCTATATTATATTCTTTTGTTAAAAAAATAAAGTCATAATGAGAGTCTATGAAATTCTACATGTTATCTGGTTCTGACAACTGCCTTCATTTTCCTAAAGCTAAATCTTAGTGCCAGTAAGTCCCCAAAATACCCTAAAATAAGGCAACATGAATATTGATGGTTAACATGACTTTAGTGCCACTGAAATCTGCAAGTCTGGCAGTCAAAACCATCATAAAAAAGTTACCTTATAATACAAAACACAATATGTTATATATGGGAACTGGTTTTTAAATTTTACAACATACAGTGGTGCCAGATATTTCCATATCTGCAGCTCATAAAACTGTATGCATGCTTACCAAAGGGCTCAATGAAACCAGTTCAAACAATTGTTTTGTAATACAGATTATATAAAACCATATGGGTTACACTATTTATGGTTAGAGGTATGTATGTTGGTTTCTTCCTCTGTATTTGGTGATCTGTGAAACAACAGCATCGAAATATGAGAATCAAGCATGAGCCAAGGAGAAAAAGGAAACAGGGAACTGTGCATGCCAATTGCACTCTCTTCCCTTACACTGATCTAAAGCGCAGACAGTCAAAAAAACCTGAGACCGAATTGGCTCAGTCTTTGCAGGTTAGTCTAAACTGCATAGATTGAATTGATAAGCCCTCCCTGCTGGTCTGGAGCAGACAGCTTGAGCCAAAGTTAGCTCACCCACTCTGGGAGGGGAGCTTGTAGGGGAGGTGCAAAGCATCTTGGGATGCTGGGGGACTGTGAGTTAATTTGAGGGGAATCTGGGACAGAAGTTCAGTAAACTGATTCAACCTAAATCAGTTAAGTCTGATACTACATCCATCCAGGTTTATCTTAAACTGGGTTCGGCCATTTTGAAAGCAGTGTATGTGAACTGAACTTCTTTTATGTTACAGATTTAAACCAGTTTATGATCACTTATACCAGTTTATGTGTAATTTCTGCCCCTAGCCAAAGGGGTTAGGGGATTAAGATGGAAGTGAACAGCTATACTTCTAAGGGTCAAATTGGACATGCTGGGAAGAAAGAATTGCCAGGTTGCTTTGTTCAGATAGGAAAGTGTTAGCAAGAACAAAGGCAGTGTCCAATGGAAGTGACTCTGGCTAGACTTTCCCTGCTTCCTGCACCGTAATCAGCTACTTCCAACCGATGAGGCAGTTTTCTATAGGTATGCATTGGGTGGTTGAGGATACTAGAGGTTCCTAATCATTTTTGACCCTTTGCATGTCTATCCTAGAGGAAGGCTTGGAAGGCTTTTTCCTTCTTGTTACTAGGTAGAGAAGCTCATTGCTCTCCTTGGCTAACCCATTAATGCAAGACTTTGGGGAATGGGAATCTATAATTCTATCCGAGTGTGAAGACTGAAGTCAGACAGGGAGTGTTTTTTTCTGTGAATAACATTCTTCTCACTTGTGTTCAAGTGTCTCTGTCCTTTATCTTTTTCTGCAATCATTCTGGTGAAGTTTTTGTCTAGTTTCACCCACGTAGCTTCTGTGGGGACACTTGGTACACTGGACGAGGTATACCACATACTGGGATAGACAAGAGTAGGATATGTGGATTCTGCTGGTTTCATTGTGGTGTGTGTTGATTGTTGTAGCAGTAAAGATGAGTTGACAGGTTTTGCATTTTGCAGGCAGGGTTGTGTCCCATTTGGTGCCATACCCACATGTTGCCCTTCTACGGGTGATCTGGTGCCATGTTTTCAGATATCACTCCCAGCTGTGTGACTGACAATGAGTTGTGAATCTGTTGTAGCTGACAGTTGTAGCTGTCACTGGATGGGCTTCTTGCCTAACTCTACCATATGCACGCCTACTGGCATGCTGTGTTCTGAATCAAGAACTCTCCCATGAGAATGCAGGCATGTAGAGAAAACTGACTAAAAGCACAGATTGCTGGATGTACCATAAACCTTAGATATATTGGGCATCTGCCATTGACACACAGCATGGACTTCAAAAACCCTGAGCAGTTGGTTCAGCGGGATGTAGCAGGACTAAGAGATAAGTGTCCTAACACCACTTCAGCACTAGATTGCCAATGAGTTTTGCCAAAGTTAACCAGCTGACTTAGCAGGATAGGACAGGTTAAACAGACCCCTTGTGAAGAAAGAGCTAGAACAAAATTTGTGCACCATTTACTTCCCTCCTAAGTATGTATTGTCTTTGCACTGACCCTTTGCACAAGGATCAGTGTGACCCCACTGGATTAAGGGGTGTTGGTTGCTGAACTAGTCACCTTTACATTTTGTTGTGTTATTTATATGAACACCTTTAAAATGCCCGTGTTCTTGCTCTTGTCCTACCTGGGGTTTTGAGATAAATGTGACTTGCATAAATGCATTTGTCCTGTACTATCAGTGCAAGGTTCTGAGCTCTGTTAGGTCTTGTTGATTTCTGAAGGGATTGGGGCAACTCAGTACCTAACAACAACAGGTTTGAGGAAGCTTTACATTAATTAACAAATAAGAAGGCATGAACTAATTGCAGCATTGGGGGCATTAGGTGCTAAGCACCTCTGAAAATCAAGGCACTTCCTGAGGTGCTTCAATGTTGATTTAGTTGACCAACTTTATACTCCCAAATTGGAAATGAGTAGTTTTACTTCTGAATTATGTGCACATGAACATAAGCAATACAGTATTTGTTATGTTTATCACTTTATAGGAAGGCACTTATTCTTATTTGCTGTCAAAAGATGGTCAATATTTTGTGAGCTGTCATATTCCTTTTCTCACTTGGCTATCATCTTATTTTTTAGAAATCAGTCCCAAACTCAGGTTCTCCATCATGAATTTTGATTTTTCCCCTGTCAGCTTCAAATGTGTCCCTCAACACCAATATAAAAACCTATCTGTGAGGCTATGCTTCTTAAAGTGTTAACATAGTACACATTCAAAAACAAAGCAAGTGAAGATGAAAAAAAAAGAATTCAAACTGGCATTAAGAAATGAATGTGGTGACAATTATAAATTAGGTATAAAATATGCAATAAGGGGAAGACTGTTAACATTATATTTATGCAAATTAAATGTCTCTAATTTTCATCATATGTCTTTCATTTTAAAGGTTATTTGCCCTGATTCTGTGATTCAAGTGTCACAAGGTCTGGCTTTATCTGTCTTGTCATAATTTATTTGACAGATCCATATGCTATAAATATGTAATGTAATGAGGAAAGGTATCTTCATTATTTAATGAAAACATTCATGCATCAGTAGTGGCTATGGATATTGTGTGACATTTACTGGTTACCAAAATAAAAATACTGTATGTCTTGAAAATATAGCGTTCATGTATTTGGAAGGATACTTCTTTCCTTCTAGATAAAATGCTCTCATGAATGAGTGAATGAATGCAGTTTTGTACTGGATGCTAAATGGTGCTTTCATTGTTAAGATGGATTTTTAGTAAAGATCTCCACATTTTCATATGGTTTATAATGCATTTAATTGTTTCTTTTTTTGTTTGTACTTCTTTGTATTAGCATATGCAACAATAAATTTATATGGAAATAAATTGAAATGTGATAAATGCCCTCATTATTTCAATACTTAACAGGTTTTGCACTGTACTAAACAGTCTATAAAGATATATGGTTCCTTCTCCAACCTCATAACATATTAAATTGTATTAATGAGAAAAGAGAGTTATACTATAATCAGAGGTCTTGCTTCTTTGTTGGTTAGCAGGAAATGGTCATATTTCTACCTCCATATAGCTGAATATACTAATCTTGCAGCATTTAAGAAAATTTGGCCTCCATTTACACAG